AGAAAAGCTTTAACGATGACACACATGAGTGACGGATTGCTTGCTAGGGAGCGCTGGCGAGGGGAATGTGTCCTGTGACATTCCGGAGTGTTCTGGTGGATTCTGGGAATTGGGGAGGACAAGGTTGGGTTTGTGAATAGGAATGCTTGGTGGTCTTAATGGCAGAAAAGCTTTAACGATGACACACATGAGTGACGGATTGCTAGGGAGCGCTGGCGAGGGGAATGTGTGATGAAGTGTTTGAGTTGTTGTGAGTGAGGGTATATTTGTGCAGTCTGGGTGCTCAGTGTGTGTGTTTCTGACCGTGTGTGTGTGTGTGTGTGTGTGTGTGTGTGGCCACATCTAAAAGTGAATAGATTGGTGTGTGGTCAACGCTGAGTGAGTCAAATGGTGTGTAAGTGTGTGTGGCCTGTGAGTGTGCTTTGTTTTTGTGATGGTGAGACATTGGGACCCCAAGCAGGAGTGAGAATTATGATGGTGACTCATAGCTGGTTGTCTGGAAGACTTATGAGAACAGAGAGCTGGGGAGTGATCTTACACTTGGATATGAGTGTATGTGGGTTTTCATCTGACAAAATATCCCTTTAGGGACAGTCCCGATGGTGAATATGCTTCATAAGCAGGGGCGCAAACTAGTAGTTATTATATATCTGGCAATGTATTCTAAGAGCTTTGTTTATCTTGGCCTTAGTGTAAACAAAAAAATGTGGCTGCCCATGTAAAATGACAGAAATTGCACAAACAGCTTGGTGAGCATTATGGAAGTAATATTCTTGAGACGTGCTGATAAGGTTTTTAAGTGCCCCAGTTATGCCATTTTTACGGTTCCTAATATTGTTTTGGGAGTCTCCTACAATGGGATTACATGCATGCAAGGTCAAAAAAATGCTTTCATTTTCTTAAAATATGCATTTAATATCACCTCATTTTCCAGCGATTCTCAAACGATTCGTTCGAAGCTGTCTAAGATTCAGTCTTTCTAAACCCCTCCTTTCCGTGAGGCTGCTCTGCTCTGATTGGTCAGATGGCCTAGTCTGTTGTGATTGGTCTAAGGCGTTTTTCTTAAAATATGCATTTAATATCACCTCATTTTCCAGCGATTCTCAAACGATTCGTTCGAAGCTGTTCTAAGATTCAGTCTTTCTAAACCCCTCCTTTCCGTGAGCCTGCTCTGCTCTGATTGGTCAGATGGCCTAGTCTGTTGTGATTGGTCTAAGGCGTACAGCGCTTGTCGGAAACGATAGGCCTATTTCAATAGTTCTGTATTTTGAACGCTCTATAGAAAATATAAACATCTATTATTTATCATACTTGCAGGTTGTGATTCAGTGGAGCAACTGGTCCAAATAAACAGGACACTGATTCTTCTTTCAGCAGCAAGCATTTTGTGAATCCCGCGTTGAACTCCTGGAGATTAGAGAAGCAGTCATCAGTAGAATGACGTGTTTGTGGGCGGGGTCAAGGGGTCAAGTTGTTCGCAGCCGGCCAACGTAGAACATAGGTGTGCATTATGCAAATGTGTTACCCTGTGACGTGTAGCCGTCATGGAAGTGGGATTCGAATTACTAACGACTTGCTTCAGCTGTGTGAGTCCATTCTTTATTTTAGGAGACAATAACGTTATTTATCGTGCACTTTCAGCTTTACAACTTTGCAGATCGTTTACATTCACATGCAGCTACATTACACACTGCGTGAAAGGCAATATTGGAAATGCCATAATAGGGGCACTTTAATGCAAACCCCAACTTTTCAGATCATGTCCTATTCATAAGTAAAATATATAAATTATTGTTTGTTTTTATTTGTTAATTGTTTGTTTCTGAGACACTCACTAAGAACATAGATCTACTTTAATATCTTTTAATATGTCATTTATTGCTGTGATAGCAAAGCTGAATTTTCAGCAGCCATTACTCCAGCCTTCAGTGTCACATGATTCTTCATAAACCATAAATCAAGTTCAAGAAACATGTATCATTATCATCAATACTGAAAACATTTATTTGAATAAATTTTTTGTAACATTATAAATGTCTTTACTGTCACGTTTGATCAATTAAATGCATCCTTGCTTAAGTATCAAAAGTAATTAAATTATTTTTAAAATTAAAATCTTATGTATATTCAGATTTTATTTTATAAAAAAAACGAAAAAGAAAAGAATAAACCAATAAAAAAAGACTACTTAAGAGTATAAGACAATAGGAGTCAATGGGAAGTCCCTGCCATGACAGAAAAACAGAAAATTTGTGTGTGAAAACATCTTTTGCGTAAGAGCACCATGTGTGTTAGCTGTGGTATTGTGTGTGCAAGTTTGGCAAAAGAAGGAAAATAAATGCCGTATAATTCACGATGGAAGTTATTGGCATGGGCAAAAATGCACAAGCTAGCAATTAAATGATCAAACTATGAGCCATGATTCATAAAAAGGCACTTTAATTGTTGAAAATGACACCTCGAACTTATGCTTTAAGGACACAGGTCAGACATTGTAAAATTATACAATAAAGAGGGAGAGTGTGAGAGATATCAGTACATTCTTACCAAGATGGAGAAGCAACATTGGTAAACAACAGTCCCACAGATTGGTGGCCAGAGAATTTAACAATCCCAAAGAAAAAACAAAAAAAAACTCTCATTGGAAAAGGAAACACAATAGTCTTTTTGTTTCAACTGACAGTTCATGTTGCTCACTGGATTTCACTGTGTTCTGCCCCGCTCAAGTTTTTCACAGCAGTCCCGTAAAATCTCCGCAAAACTCTGAGATTTAAAGTATGCAAACAGTCACATCCACTGTTTCAGAAACCAGTCAAGCATTTAATTAATAAACACACACTCGCGTATAGACACACCGAACATACATTTGTCTTGTGTTCACATTGTGGTTCAGAGGGCAAGTCCTGCTGTAATCCGTCTAGATCCTGGAATTTAGCCATATTTCTCTTTCCAGGCCACCCCTCACCCCACTACGACCCCCATGTTGTACAGATAGGTACATATTTCAACTTGTATACACAAGTGCACACTCACACAAGACCCTGGGCGGGCCGGAGCAGATTGACGGGGATAATGAGCTAGTTGAATTGGTAGGTGCGAATTGGTAGGATTATCCACAGACACCTTCGGGGAGGAAAGTTAACGCCGAAATGAAAATTCTGTCATTTACTCACTCTCATTTCATTATAAACCTGTATGACTGACTGACTTTTGCAGAAAGATTTTTTTCCCCAGAGTCTGGTGTTGTTTTGGACCCCATTGACTTTCATTGTATGAACAAAAAGAACCACACTGAAACATTTTTCAAAATATTTCTTTCGGTGTTCCACAGAAGACAGAAAGTCATACAGGTTTGAAACGACATTAGGGTGAGAAAATGACAAAATGTTCATGTTTTCGCTAAGCGGAGACGTACGAGTTCTCACTGGGCTGCAACACTGATCTAAAACATACTTTGAACCTCCCTTAACATGGTAAAAGTTAGAGTTTAGATTGGTGGTGGTGGTCTCAGATCAGTGCAAAACAACAACCCAAAGGCACTTTTACACACAAAACCTAGTGGTATCTGACGTCACAGTCCCTTAGACATAAAAAAGCACCCTGTGTGAGATTTTGGCATTGCGGCACAAGTATTAACTTTGATTAACCTTTATAAATTGATTAACCTTTATTTAACCAGGTAAATCAGTTGAGAACCATTTCTCATTTACAATGACGACCTGGCCAAGAGGCAGCATAAAAAAAAAACTTGCTGAAGAATAACTTGTTCTCCCCTTCTGGATTAAATCAACATACAAGTTTCTTAATCCAGACAAATTGCAGATAAGAGTCAGATGGAATGAAGTTTTGTAATCTGTGGTATAACTAACATGTCCGTAGCTAAATGCCACAAAGAGTCTTGGCTCCCTCGCTCTTGCTGTATAATGTGATTTAAGGCACTGTCTTGGCAGGGGCCCTTTAGCTCACTGACTTTATCAGTAAAAACCGGGGCAGAGTCCAGAGAGAAGAAAACATGCTCGTGGTTTACAATGAAACCCAAGCGAGTGTTTGTGCTCGCTCTCAGAAACACCATTGTGACAGCACTTGATCATTTACAGTGGAAAGTAATCACCCCCACCCTCTCCTTCTTCAAACAGTTTTCCCTCCGAAAAAAACAGGCTTGTATTGAGCTTCACAGCGCCGTCTCATTTGGAGAACGTCACGGCGTTTACGTTTACAGCGGGAGGCTCATTTTGTGGGTTTTTCATGGGAGAACATTACATTCATTTCCAAACCTTGTGTTTCAGAATTAAATACAATTATATACACCGGTTGAACCAACCAACCACATAGAGAAAGAGATGGATGTACAACTAAGTCAAAAAGCCACTTGTCAAAAAGTGTTTTTGAGGGCACTTGGAGTGTGTTTTTGTATGTGTGTGCAGCAAAAACAAAGCATCATATATGCGCGACATTTCAACAAACCGTGTAGCGTAGTGTTTATTTAACCTTTCATATGGCCAGCACCACGTGAGCCGGGAAGCACGTGTCTCCCTGACAGCACTTCCTCCTGCACCCCAGACCAGACAGCAGAGGGAGACTTGTAAAAATGATTTGTATCTGAGACGAAACGTATGCGTTTTATCTTATCGCTGTGTTTTGTATGTGCGGAAGCCATAAATACTCAATAGAATGGGTGTTCTTAAATGCAATCTATGCAACAAGCTGAATTCCTCTGTGTTTATGTGAACGTTTTGGGTCTTTTTCTTGTCCGGGCATGTTGCTCCGCTGGTCTGACGGGACGGGGAGAATTCCGCAGTCCTGCAACCTGCCAAGGTGCTCCTTTGAGGCTGGTAGAGCTGCATACTTGCCCTCTCATCTTTCTTTCCTCCACATTCCCGCTGTCATCATTCTCTTCTCATATCTCTGTTTTTAAAAGTGTTTTAGATCCGCTGTACACACAAATATTCTGCGAGTGGAGTTCACACGTCGAACCCTATACACCATTGGCACAGATTCGCTTTGTGTGAGTGTTCATCTCTCCTGTTTTGCTACCGTTTCAAAGATTCACATCTTTGATGTGATCTGTAAAAATATACATACATTCCTCTGTTTTTAATGAGAAACAGCCTTGTCCGAAATGTCTCTCATTCACACATCCTTCACATATTCAAGAGTCTTAAAGAAAGGAAAGTTGAACGATGAAGTCTTTGGGTCACAGCCCCGAAACGATCCACCCAATGGGTAATGTAGTCCTGGTTTTAGCTCCTCTGATATGTTCTTACAGGTCCAGACGGAAAGCTCCGAAGTAGCTAGAAGAGTCCTCGCCGTACACCATTGTGGGAGACGAGACGGACACGAAGATCTCGTCGCCTGCTCGCAGCTCAAACAGGCCGCCCTGGTACACCGAGTGAAGTGCGTATTCTGCGTCTGGAGCCCAACATTTGGTCCCCACTCCCTTCAGCAGCTGAATTGGCCTCAGGTAGGAGGTTTTCTTATAGATGCACTGAACCAGCTGGTGGCTTACGCTGTTCTGATCGCCCTCGCTGGGAGAGGGGTAGCGGAAATACACCTGGGAGTACAGGTAGTAGCGGCCGTCCTGGGGTACGCGAAGGCGTCCGTTGGCCAGCGTCATGTTGTGCAGATGGGCGCCGAAGCTCTGGTTGGCCCAGGAACGTACAGGGTGGCGGCAGGACTGGTGCAGGTCTGGTTGAGGGGTGAAGTATTGAGTGCCACCTGAGAAAAAGGGAGAAGTTGGATTTTAGGTTAGCACGAAACTCCATTCGCAACTCATTTTACTTCTGTAAAGTATGCATTTTTTAGTGAAAGATTTTGACATTTAACCCAACCCCTATTAACTAGCTATTAACCAGTGTTGTTATTGTTAACCAAAACTAAACCGAATAACTGAAATAAAATAAGGTTAAGTTGAAGTACTAAAACTGAAATAGAATAAATTCAACTAAATAAAAATATAGAACTAAATAGAAATATAAAAATGACAAAAGCACATTCAATTACTAACAATTTAGCAAAAAAAAACAAAAAAAAAAACTGGAAATATAAAAATAAAAGCTCGTTCAAAATATTAACAAATAATAATAGTATATAGATACTAAAAGAAAAATGTAGGGCAGGACTTTCATTCATTGCAAGTGGTTGGATTTTTAATTGATGACTTGCAAATGTTAATTATGACTTATAACAATAAGCTGATAATTATTCATGTTTTAAATGATAAATTACTGACATTAAAATTCAATAATATTTTGTATAAATGAATAAAAAAATTAATCGGTAACACTTTACTTAAAGCCTTTATGTATAATGCATTATAAAGGGTTATTAAAGGGTATACAGCATTACATTATTCATAATGTGCATTGTAATACATTATATCTTGCTGTAAATAATTATAAATGAATTTAAAGTGCATTGTGTAACAATGAACTGATAAGTGCTATAATGTATTAACTGTGGTTACAACTATTAATGATATGCATTATAAGGTGCATTACCAGGCATAATTAATGCATTCAAACGAATTTTATAATGCATTATACAGGCTTTAAGTAAAGTGTTACCAATAAATCAATAAAATCTAACATAAATCATTTTAAATGCTAAAAGTGAATTTAGATATCACAACAGTATCAACGTACAGTAGGAAAAATTAATATTAATTTTGAGATTTGCTAAAGATTACATTTAACAGTGTTATAAAATAAAATTTGTGTTTTAAAGATTAACTTTAACTTAACTTTAAGAATGCCAAAGGCAATCTGGATGTGCAAATGTGCAAATAATTCGACCCCCCCCCTAAAAAAAAAAACTAGTAGTAAAAGGGAAGAAAAAAGAATAGAGGTTCCAAGACAAGGAGCAGGTGCCGATTAAGGCAAGGCACATAATTCATAAGGTAAAAGGGAGGAATGAAAGATTGGTGGATTATCTTAAGAGTACAGGAGAGATCAGAACAGGAAGGTATGGCTGCACAGAAGAGGAAGTCACGAACAGAGTGAAAAACAGAAAGACTGTGGAGGAAGGGAGGTGTAGAACACATGGAGGAGCAGGCGGCGTGTTCCTCAAACATTCCTCAAAGAAGATCAATAACATGCTAGACCTGCTCTTTTATTTACTGCTTCAAAAGGTTTTAAAAGGGCCGTTCTTCTGACAAACGTTGATAAAGAGAGATACACACATGAAGTACAGATGTGTAGGAAAGCCCACCGCTATCACAGCGGTTAATATACAGTAGATGTTCTCGTGGATTAATCTGTTTCAGCTTTTTGAAGTTAACGACGTGCAGTTTTCATAGTGTGTATATGTGATCCATCATCAAGTAGCGTGCAGACAGGTTAGTGAATAATGCATGCACGTGTAACAAATAAAATTACTCCCTTGCAGTTTAGCGGTCAGACTTGCGACTCGTGCTCCAGAAACAAAGCTGGTTTGACTTGGTTTCATTTCCTTCTGGGATGCGTGACTGAATAAATCTCTTCTTTTTTTTTTCTGGCACGCATGCAGTAAATAGGTCTTTGATCCAAGTAGCTATATTAGAACTTCAAAGCAACAGACAAGATTTTGGGATATTTAGTAATATTATTATACTGTAGCTAAATAACTAAACAATTTCAAGCTGTTATATAATCAGCTTCTTCTTTGCAGCTGTGTGCCAGGCTTTTTTGACATAGGGAAGCTCTGCCTCTGCCTGGCAGGATGGAGGGATGGATGGATGGATGGGTCTTATACATGAAAGGCACATAAAGCATGTGCATGTATGGTACTACTACAGTACTGGCTGGAATACAGTACATGACTTTTAAAATCTGAACAGCAACTAGCAACTAGCGTTGACTAGTCTAAACTGCAAATCAGGAAAAAATTTGGGCATAAGTCATGTAGTGTATCTTATAAGTACTAAAATGAAATAAATGAAATCGAAATATAAAAAAACAAAGCTAATAAACATGATTTTAAACACAAAACAAAATTACTAAAATGTTATTAATTAAAACTGAAAATATAAAAATAAAAGCTCATTCAAAATATTGATAAATACTATAATATAGATACTAAAAGAACAATGAACACAAGAAAAATGCAGAGCATTAAGAGCTTGAAGACTGATTTAAATGATAAAAATAAGCTTTACGTTTATATGCTCAAGTTGACAAATGATTTTTTAGACTAAATTGAATTAATTTATTTTATTTTATTAATAACATAGTTTTAAATTTTTCATAATTTTTTTACATTTATTTATGCAAAATTGATCAGTGTCGATGACTCTAAAATGTGGAAAATAGTAAAAATAAAGAATAGATGGATATGTCGAAAGTTTCAGCTGGTACTGTATATACACACACACACACACAGAAGCTCACCTGGCAGGCTGCTAAGGGTCAGGTGGGCTGATGGTCGCTGTGTCACTGTGGTCATAAACTTTGACCCTGATGTATTATATGAATGGGGCATGGCTCTTGCTTCTGAGGGAGAGACAGACAGTAGACAATCAGCACATTCAAATACATCATAAAATATTTACTGGTGTTGCGCAAGACATTTGAACCTGTTCTTGGAACTGCACTGTGTTCCGGTACAGTCTATTTTTGTCATTGCTCCTGGTGTTTCTGTAGCACTGTACTTTAAGCTGTAATTGTGATTCTGCCGATTACAGAGAAATGACTGATCGTATACTCACCGTGTAAAGCCTGTTTGGAGATGATGCTGTCTGTAACCTGTGGCAAAAACAAAAAAGTCCCATTAGTACAGTGACATGTGATGACTCTTCAAATTCTAGATTGTTCACAGGAATGTGAAACTAGATGATTCGGTTTTATGAGCGCATCTTTCCCCCTTTTTGGTTTTTGTTTCTTGTCACACAGGCAGATAACAGCGGTTAAAGTTTACCTCAAGTTACGAAACAGCAACATAAGTTAATTGTCCAAACGCTTACATTTTTTTAATTCTTTGTAGATGGCAGTTTCTAAGCACAGAAACGATCACGTTGTGTTGAGCTGGAGGGTGAAAACAGCTAAGAATAGATTTTAAGGTGACCTTTCTCAAGGGCCGTTTTTCAGTAGTCTGTGACGGCCATATTTCAACCAGTCAAACCCCAGCATCCAGATCATTAGTCCCACCGGCCGGGTCTTGAACTAAAAACACTCTGATTACTGGCTCATTTCCATCGCCTCAGGCCAGCCTCAGCTCTGGGATTTAGTACGTTCCAAACACTATCTGATTTACCTAAATTAAATAAATTGAAACCTCTTGATGATTTGTTAAAAATGTAGTCAGGGACTGAATCACTGCATTAAAACCATTCAGCAAAAAAACACCACGCCAAATAACAGGGAATTTCATCAGCGGTGGAAAAAAAAAAAATCCATTTAATCCACAAAGCCGTTCAGATTTCAAAAATCTACCAACAAGCCAAAGTTGAACCCAACTCCCTCAGGCTGGTTTTGACCTCTCCGCACATTTTCCTTCCACTCTCTTGAATACTTGTTGGATAACGGTTAAATGCCACTTAAACACCAGAGTTACAAGAAATATAAAGTTTGGCATGTAAGATTTATAATATGTGTTAATGTATAGAATTTATGGTGTTTTGCCTTTCAGTGTTTCGCAGTACATTACGATATGTTCGGTTGTTGTGTATGACTGTCTGTGTTAAAATATGAACGGCTTTTTAAAGCAAACACTTTCATTTTAGCTTTCTGACATGACCGTGTTGATAAATCAACAAATGACTGTTTTTTTCTTCTTAAGGACTAATAGTTTATTCCCTTCTCTCTCTCTCTCTCTCTCTCTCTCTCTCTCTCTCTGTCCCTGCCTCCCCAGCCCCCCTCTGTCTGGCATCATCCAAGAGTGAGTGTGTGATGGAGTCTCTGTTGTTCTTGGCGCTCTCTCTCTCCTCTCCATTCATCAGACAGCCGAGCGCCTGCAGCCTTTATAACGTGACATAATCTCCAGGCCACAGCAGAGATGGATTTCTGACCAAGGCTTATACTTTTTCACAATAATTTCTGGTAAATGATCCTGAAATCAATTCCATGTCTCACATATGGAGCAGATAAAGGGCTGTTTTACTAGCATGTTCTTGTACATGCAGCATGTCATACAAGAAAGACTGAAGGAAAAAGAGAACAAGTTAGATAGAAATCATTTCAGTTGTCTTTATAATTAGTATACTCTTTCCTGCTATGCTGCTTTTATTGTATTTACTCTGCCATGTATTATTCTACTTTTCTGGATGGATGGATGGATGGATGGATACACAACACAACATCCTATTGGACTGCAAGAATCAATTAAGAATCCAAAACTCCTGTAGGCATTTTGGTTTATCCAGTAAGATCTTATGGGATTCTTAGTTGATCCCATTAGGATTCTTTCGGATTGGTTCCCATTTATGACTGAAATTCCAATAAGAATCCATCACACAGGCTTTTTTCTGGCTAAGGACTCTGTGAGGCCAAGTTAAAGTGAGTGCGCAATCTGTTTTCTGGAAAACACAACATAGTTCAGAAGGTGGAGGGCAGAGAACAGGCCCATACAAAAACCTCAACAATAACAATAAACACACCCAGCGTTAAACCTTTGGCCTCCTGCACCCGTGCGCCAGAAAAAGGCGAACGGCCAGTGAAGATTTTTCCTTCATTCAAGGAGCAGGAAGCTGGTGAGTGCATGCACACAGCGCGCGAAGAAAGCCATTAGCGTCCTCTCCAGCTGAGCTCAGTCGAGACGACAATCCAATACTTTAAAACAGCCGTAAGTGCCAGAGTTTGCTCTGTCGTTGAGATTCTGAAGCACAACGCGTTCCCTTCCTCCAGGAGGAATATTAATATATAACTGTTGCTTTCCTTGGGGCGTAAAGCACGATGAACAATAAATCTGAACACTAGACTTTGCTCAGTGTGACTCAGGTAAACGGCTAATAACCCACACAGTATTGATAGACACACACACACACACACACACACACTATACTTACTGTACACACACTCTCTGCTGGATAAAATCAGTGCACGCCTGTTATGGGCCTTTAAATGAATGGGGTGTGTGTGTGTGCTTACAAGTTGTTTCCTGCCATTCTTGGCTGCCGTCTGAGGTCGGCCCCATTCCTCTGTCCCCTGGCCCCCTTCACCGTTCCACTACAGAGCCCAACAGTCTGACCTTAAGCACTATGAGAATTCATCTCTTTTTTTTCTTTCCCTCCCCCCTGTAAAAGTCTGCATCTATACACCTGGGGCGGCTGCTCCAGCTGTGCGTAAGTTACAACTCTGCTTAGTTGTAGCATAAATGAGAACTACATTACAACCACTAAAAATGTGATCACTGGACTATTACACTTATAATAAAAAGTAAGCCTTTGTATGAACTAAATATTTATGAAATCCTCTGACCAGGAGAATGTAATTCAGTTGGTCTGCCAGTAATATGACAGACTGATTGGATTATATCAGTGAGAGTGTAATTTGTGTGACGCATATATTGTTTTATAGTTTGGGGTCAGTAAGGATTTTTTCAAATGTTGTTTGTAAGACATCTCTAGTGCTCACCAAGGCTGAATTTATTTGATCAAAAATACAGTAAAAAGAAATATTTTATATATTAAAATATTGTGTTTTAATATATTTTAAAAAGTAATTTATTCCTGTGATTTAAAGCTGGATTTTCAGCAGCCATTACTCCAGTCTTCAATATCACACAATACTTCAGAAATCATTCTAATATGCGGATTTTAATATGCGGATTTGGTGCATCAAAAACATTTCTTATTATTATCACTGTTGAAAACGGTTGTGCTGCTTAATATTTTTTTGGGATATTTTTTCTTGAATAAATAGAACATTTAAAAAAGCATTCATTTAAATTCGAAATCTTTTTAAACATTGTTTTTACTATAACATTTCTTTACATTACTGTAACGTTAGGCGTAACATTTCCGTCACACGCTTGAGGTATTCGGCCAATCACAACGCACTGGATAGCTGGGCAATCAGAGCACACCTCGCTTTTCAGACCGATGAGCTTTGTAAAAATCGATGCGTTTCAGAAAGGCGGGGCATAGAGGAGACAATAATGTACAGTATGTGGAAAATAATGTGTTTTTTAACCTTAAACCGCATAAACACATTTCATTACACCAAATACACAAAATAATGTTATTTTTAGCAGCATCATATGACCCCTTTAATGCATACTTGCTGAATAAAATTCTTAAATTCTTAAAAAATAAATATTACTGAATAGTATGGTAAGACATTCATCTCGGTATGCCTTTCCAAAATAAATAAATATATAGGTATATAATACTTTTTTTATTTTTTACATATATTAGTATGGATTTGTTTAATGATTTATGTATCATATTTCTATGATTTTAATTATATGTATAATGTAAAACTGAAGACAACTTTTTGGATAAATACAGTCAGGCATCAATTTATGAGACTGCACACTACTAATGGTGCATTGCAGTTAAATTGAGAGTTGAGCTACTAGAGCCCTAGTGTGAACTTTATGTCCGCATTTAGGACTTACAAGCGGCTGGTGCAACCCTACCCTGCATTTTAAAAAGCAGTCAGGATTAGAAGTATTTGTGGCTGTGTCTTCCTCTTCTTTCTCTCGCTCTTATCAGGGCTCTCTGCCACACTGACACTTAATGGGGTGTTAAAGATGTGACCGGCTGTCTTCAGTCTCTCTTTTGGTGTGGGGAATGGGCTTGAAGACTTCCGAGGCTTTAAACCCAACTTAATCGCTCTTTCGTGTTCTCTCTCTCTCTCTCTCTCTCTTTTTTTTTAGGTCCGAAGGTCGTTGCGGAGCACTCGCTGAAATTCGACTCTTAAGTAATACCAGCTTTGAGAGCTCAGCGCATATTTGGCAGGAGGCGAGCCATCGTGTAACTCCATGCAGCGCAACATGAGAACACCGACTGGACCGGCCTTTATTACTTTATTAACGTTTTTCTCTTTTTTCTTTCTTTTCACCCTTTTTCACCCCAGCAAATCTCGTGTTTGCTTGTTATCAAACCCAATCCGCGTCCACAAGCTAGCAGTCTCCCGTAGATTTCTGAAACGAACAATACATTCGTCCAGAGAAACCGCATGTAGTAAAACCAACCACACCATCGAAAACACAGTCCTTGAGCTATGATCGTGCAGAAGATAAAGGTTAGAGGGCAGACAGAGATGGCCTTTGTGTTTGTTCTGAGGCTGGCGGAAAATCTTGAGGCTGGCGGGATGCCCCGAGTATGATCACTGCTTTCATCGTAAATCTGTTTCAGACGCCGGTGGTGATGCAGCGCTGCGGATGTGAGCCCGAAGACGAGATGCTTCCTCATCTAATGAGTCATTAGGAGAATCCGAGACAAGCGGAGAATGGGGACAAAACGTCCCATTTAGGTTTGCGGAAAACTGAGGAGGGATTTAGGGATATTGAGAGGACTCAAGTGGCTGATGCGGGGTCCTGTTCAGGTGCAGGTTGAGCATATAATATTCCTTGGAATGCTGATATTATTTCTGGGCTGGATCGAATCCATTCTGGCCGAGATGTAGCGTCTTTTGATTTGTTGACTTGCGTTAGGGTTTCTGCATGTGATTCTCTGCGGACGTGGCCATCTGTTCGGTGAATTAACTGAACTCTTGCAGGGTTCGACTCTTGTTAGCTGTGCAGTCATTCTGCATTACGTGTTACACCAAAGCCCAAAAAGAGCCACGGAAAGTCAGGGAGCTACAATGGTCAGCGGCTAGTATACTGCATGTCCGTACACTGTTTGTGTGCTGAGTCTGGCTAAAGTCGAGAATCTGGAGGACGTCAGACTTGTCTTTTTGCTTCTTTTTTTTTTTTTGAGCCCTCCATAATAACTACCAGGCGTTCTGGCATTCTCTGGATTCTGAAGGCCTTTGCTTCAGAAACATGCATTTCCTTCATCTCTCCTCTCTCACACATTCGCTGCGAACACTCTCTCGATTCTCCTTGTCCTCTCGTTCTTTTTCTGTGTGCTTTACCTCTGTGCTGACATGAAGCTGGAAAAGAGCCCGAAGCCTCGGCATGTGCTTGTTCAGGCTGTTTCTTTCTCTGCGTGTAAATATCTTCCTATCTAAATCTGAATCTCACCCTCTTATTCGTATTGACGCGTGAACATGCATGCAAACACATGCAACTATACGCTATTTTTGTGTTTTGAGACTCATGTACTCACCTACCCCTTACATTCTCTTTTTATTTGTCAAAACTCTGCATTATTTGTTTACTTTTTCCACTGACCGATCCCCTTAGCATGATCAGGGAATTCTTTAACGTTAGTGGTCAGTTTAAAAAAAAAGAAAATTCATATTTATATTCGGCAAGGATGCAGAGTGAAGGAGTGACAGTACAGACGTTTACATTAATACAATTTATATTTTAAATGCTGTTGTTTTGAACTTGAACATTTTCCTCAAAAATATTCAGCAGCACAACTGTTTTCAAGACTGGAGTAATCGCTGCTAAAAAGAATACAGCTATGCCATCACAGAAATAAATTACACTTAAAAATATTTTAAAACAGAAAAGACTTATTTTAAATTATTACAATATATAACTTTTACTTTTTATCAAATAAATGCAGCATTGCTGAGCATTTGAAGCTTCTATCAAAACATTACGGATGGATAAAATTAAGTATAGGGATGCACAATATATCGGTACCATATCAGTAATTTTCTGATATTAAAGATTGTTTAATTAATTTAATAGGTGAATTATCATTGTGCATGTTTTGTTTTAACTTATTTCTGTCCTATATCTGCCCTAACATATAATACTAGTGTTCAAAAGTTAGTGGTCAGTTTAAAAAAAAAGAAAATTCATATTTATATTCGGCAAGGATGCAAAGTGAAGGAGTGACAGTACAGACGTTTACATTAATACAATTTATATTTTAAATGCTGTTGTTTTGAACTTGAACATTTTCCTCAAAAATATTCAGCAGCACAACTGTTTTCAAGACTGGAGTAATCGCTGCTAAAAAGAATACAGCTTTGCCATCACAGAAATAAATTACACTTAAAAATATTTTAAAACAGAAAAGACTTATTTAAAATTATTACAATATATAACTGACTTTTTATCAAATAAATGCAGCATTGCTGAGCATTTGAAGCTTCTATCAAAACATTTAAAAAGTGTGTGTAATGTAAATAAATGTTTGACTTTACTACTTGATGCTCTTCAAGTCTAATCACACCTTTAGAATGAGACTTATTCAAAAACCAAGCCCTAGGCTTCCAAACATGTCAGTTTTATTAATGTAACCACCACTGGAAGGCTGTGTGGGGAAAAGCTATACGCTGAAGGGATAACCAGCCACGCCAGGGGAAAACCAAGCCATTTCCTTCAAATCTGAGCTCTGACTGCTAGACTGGTTCATGATCGGGACAAGGGGGTGAGTCACCCTCTACAATGCTGCATATACAAGCATAAATGCTTGAAAAACTCTCCCATGACTCAACCGTCCACTTTTCTTCCCTAAGGAGATTGTAATCACTTGCCAGGACACATTTATGGTAATAGCAAGTTGCTTCATGCTGTGAAGAACTTCACTTGAAACTGTTGTCTACAACTGTGCCCACGTATTGAAAAGGCAGATGATGTTTTCAATAGCTGTAATTAAGACACGGCTTGCCTCAACACATATCCCAACAAATGAATGTAGAATGTTGTGCAACCAGTAGAATCAAAAACCGAGATGTGAACTTACCTTGGAAATATAGGCTTTGATACCCTCAGCTAGCTTGATGCAAGGTTCACCAAACAGTTGGGCCAGGTCTTCGGGAATGTCCCGGTCTTTATCCAGGGCGTTGAGCAAGCCCAAGCACCGCAGCTCTTCTGTAACCCCCTGATTTTTAACCTGCCAATAGGATAAAAGTTAAATAACAAGCCCAAATCACATGCAGTTGGAATCAGTACATTACAATATGGTTTGAATGCAATGTCATCCCAAGGAACAATGAAAACGGCACTTTGGTTTAGGAAGCAATCTGGGAAACGATCAACAGGGAGCTGAAGGCATGCTCAATGAGGAAACAATCTGCTCAAGGCCGGAGCATAGGCTGCAGATCAAAATGAGGGCATGTATCCCTCTTGACCCTTTCCAGGAAAGTAGATGAGAACATCTGCAATGGGGCTTTCTATGGAAAGTCAATGGGATGCAAGTTCAGCTCAAGATCTTGAGCCAGCTTGAGAGGTATGTCCTACATAATGAGGTACTTTCAAATGACCTTGCTCTGAAACCCTTGCTCTTATTTTTGGTCCCTTTCTCTCTCTCTTTCTTGGTTTAGAAACCCAGAGCCTCTCCAAAAAATATGTCGCCAGTTAAGGATCTCTGTGTGCAATTTTGAAGCCTCGAGTCACGGTCCGCCAAAGCTCTTAATGGCTCTCCAGTCGCCGGCGGAGCGTGGCAGCAGAAGGTGTGTGTCGTTAATTCTCACCGTGTTACGGTTTTCAAAGCGAGTCAGGCAGGTAATGGAACAGGAACAGCTCAAGACTGATCCAAGACCAGTTTTGCGATTTCTTGTGTGACCACACAAATAAGGCTGGTCCTAGTCCTGGAAGGATTTACGGGATTGGGGCCAGGCTCCTTCATATGTGTTGATTGCGGTTTTGTCTCATGGGTACGCTTGGGCTGGTTCTGGATCAGCACATTAAAATGACTTCAGCATAAGCAGAAAAATACATTAATAAGAAAGGATAGTTTGGTAATAGTTTAATTTGTTAACATTATTAAATGCATTACTTTTCAACACAATATGTCACAAGTTACTGTTCTCTGGCCAACATGGATGAGGTTTTATCAAAATTGCAAAAATGATTTGTGATAAAAGCTACAAACCAATCAGTAACGTCTTGAATTCATGGTGCATATTTTCTTTTTTGTAAAGAAATAAAGGTTTAGTGAAAGAAATCTTTAAATAGAAATATACACTACTGATTTTTTTTTCTTAAGATCTTTGAATGTTTTTAAAAGATGTCCCTTATGCTCACCAGTGCTGCACTTATCTGATTAAGAATATATTAAAAACAGTAATATTGTGAAATATTACCATTTTAAATGACTGTTACATATTTTAATTGTAATTTCTGTGATGGCAAAGCTGAGCATGGTCTTCAGTGTCACACGATCCTTCAGCTATCATTTGCTGCATTTAACATTTCTTATTATCACAGTAGAAAACGTCATAATAATGTGCGGTTAATTTTTATTTTTATGTAAACTGTGTTGCATTTTTTTCAGGATTCTTTGAATGGAAAGTTCAAAAGAAAAGCATTTATTTGTAATAATTTTTTGGTAACAATGTAAAGTCTTTACTGTCACTTTTGATACATTTAATGCACCCTTCTTTAAAAACATATCTTGCTGAGAGCAAACTCGATAAATAACCATTCTTTTGTGAGACCATCAGAAACAATCCTAATTGGTTAGCCCTGAATAGTAAATGTTAAAATGAATAAATACTCTAAAAGTACAATTAATTTTAGTTCATAATGCATAATGTTGAGCCTTGTTGTATTTATGTCTCTGATGGTTATATTTACCACTTGAGCTATATCTTCACACGATCCTTCAGCTATCATTTGCTGCATTTAACATTTCTTATTATCACAGTAGAAAACGTCATAATAATGTGCGGTTAATTTTTATTTTTATGTAAACTGTGTTGCATTTTTTTCAGGATTCTTTGAATGGAAAGTTCAAAAGAAAAGCATTTATTTGTAATAATTTTTTGGTAACAATGTAAAGTCTTTACTGTCACTTTTGATACATTTAATGCACCCTTCTTTAAAAACATATCTTGCTGAGAGCAAACTCGATAAATAACCATTCTTTTGTGAGACCATCAGAAACAATCCTAATTGGTTAGCCCTGAATAGTAAATGTTAAAATGAATAAATACTCTAAAAGTACAATTAATTTTAGTTCATAATGCATAATGTTGAGCCTGGTTGTATTTATGTCTCTGATGAAGGTTATATTTACCACTTGAGCTATATCGGAGTTTCTATTTTCACCTGGAAAATAAAAACGACCTCTGACAAGCCACGGTTTGATCACGAAAACCCAGGTTACCTGATGCGTCATATCTTGAGCTTGCATGTACATGTTCAAAACCTTCTTAACTGTAAACAACTACTTGTCGCTTAAGTGCCTACTTCCGCGTATTTCTCTCTTAGAAATGGGTCAGTCACACGTGCCCTGGATGGAATCTAAAGCACTGTCCAGGGTGTGGAGAAGTGTGAGCCAGAAATGGATCATGTGTCATCATGAGTTACACCAAATAAATTAAACAACTCTGGGTCAATGCTGCTACACCCTAATAAACGTAAACTCCGACAGTATTGCTATACGTAATGGTTCACAAATGGGCCGACTGTGAAAAATCATGTAGCTCAAAACGCGCTAAATTAAGTAAAGTCAACATAGATGGTGGTATTGAGTCACTAGTGGCACTCCGGAGGGTTTCTGATCCCAGAGAGGGCAGCAGGAAGTGGGGAACAATGCTTCAGTGTTAGCCCTCATTTCTGTAGCTGGGGAAAAGAAGCCACCACTGAACTTTCTGCTTCACTCCACATCCATTGCTTTTTTGGGATAGGATTAAATAAGAGAAACCAGGCGTGTAACTAAAATCCATGCCAGGGGCTCTCTGTTTCCGCATCTCACTATAACTCTCTCACCCTTCCTCTTGCTTCTCTCTTTTTTCGGCTATTCCTCATCCATGTGTATGTTTTTTCTAGTTCCCCCCCTGCGGTCTCAAAGAAAGGAAAGCAGCCTGAAAGTTGGTTGTGATCTAAATGATCTGCGAGGGCTGAAGCGCTGCAACTTCGGATGACTTCCCAGAGGGCAACAGGTTTGTCTAAGCAGGTCTTCAAAGGAAATTCCAGCCAAATATTCAATTTGTGCATTTGGCAAAGAACAAACTCTTGAGGAGATTGTTCTCTTTCTCTTTACTTCTCCAGAAGACCACACAGAAGTCAAAATCTGCCTTGGCAATAGAAAGCAATGCTGTGGCCTTGGGTCAACTAGTCTCTAAAAGCAATAAATCATGTCACGTTAATAAGGGAACCCCCTTTCTGAGCAAAGTTTGGTTTTTATTTAGACTCAGACAATGAAAAGTATGCAAACACGTTCAGTAGGTGCTTTTCCTCACAATGACGGGTTTCTCTAAAATTAGCGCATGACTACAAGTGAACCTTGATATAGGCATGTGACACAAACAACGAGTTAAAGTCACTGATACATTGCATACTCAGCATGCCATTGGGCCTCCAGTATGCACCTGTACACAAACATTCGACTTTACAATGACCGGTGCCATTGTGTGTGGCAAAAGCCCCAGTTGTCAAGGGTAACAATTCTTTTTTTTCTTATAATCACCTTTGTCTTGGCTTCTCTCATTGGCTCATAAATCTCTGGTAAATGGCCAATGAAGACAGGCCTTATTAAGAGTCCATTGTGATGCGTTTTTAAAGCCCTCTGGGTGTTCTATGAAGTCTCGGGCCATCGCCGTCCCGTTCTGCTCTGTCTGCCTGAATGTTACACTTCTAGAATACTAACTATGTGCCTGTCAGTGGACCCCGGCTTCTTTTCCCCATCCAAATGGGGCCCCAACAGTCGTCTTGCCCTGCTAGAATATCTAAGTACTTCTGAGAAGCAGGATTTGTTTTTGTTTTTTTGCTTCCACACGCAATCAATACAGAAATTAAACATGACATGGACAGATTGGAGTAATTATTAACTTATTTTAACTCAAGTTACTAAGGGGCTAATCACGTCAGAAAAGTACTTTTTTATGTTAAATTTGATTATTGTCAAATAAAGGCTGATAAAATGCCCCTATGTGGCGGTGGAACATTCAGTCCGCAGAGTTTAATAGTGCTAAGTGAGGGAGTTGCATTGTTTATTAGCAGCCCTGTTGGTGTAAACCAAGGCTTTGTTTGTCCTTTCAAACTCTGATAATGGGGTAAAATGGAGGTGTTTACTCGTCTTTTAGGACAACACTGTGAGCATCCCATCTGGTCAGTGCACCAACAGTGAGCACAGGATATTTATGTTAGTTCTGAAGAATGTTCATTAGGCAACAGCTGTGTGTGTGAAAGAGAGAGAGAAACCAGTGCATATGTGTCTTTATTTTCAGCACATTCTCACTCAGCATCTCACAATTCTTTTCTTCTTTTCTTGCTTTTCAGCATGTCAATGTGTTGATTTGATGACTGTCCCTTTGGGGAAAAAAAGATATTTAATCCTTCAGCAAACCCCACGGGGATGTTTAATCCTTGAAAATATTTTCCTAAGGCTTTTTGTTCATGTATGACTGAAACTTCATCATAACCAGGGCCTCCGGAATAGGCCAGGAGATATTTCAAACCCTTCTCAGATTTATTAGAAAACTCTGCGTCTTGTGCGTTACACAAGATTTATACAGAGAAGTGAATCATTGCTTGGCCTAGTTTAATTTATTGTGGAACGACGAAAATAAAAAGCTACTCTGTGTTCCCTAATCAATTTAATTGCAGGACAGCAAATTATAAAAAAGTCTTAAATATCTCAGTCACTTTATATTGGTGAAATTTATCCAGAGCTTTGTCTCTTGTCAGTTTTGTACTTAAGGTTGAACCAGTCTGTGTAACACTGGAATCTATCCATGTCTTCTTTGGGCCTGGCAAACATAACGTAACTTGAATCCGCAAAGAATTATCAGAGACTAGCAGCCACAATTAGCTATAATTATATGTTCTGCATAAAAACCATAATATTACAGTGAAAACGAGAGCGAAAGACCGAAGAAAATTGAATAAGAATAAAGGCCGAACATGAAGGAGAGAGGAAAACAAGAGGGTGAGAGACTGAGACATTGTGGATCTTGGCAATGGAAAATGTCACAGGAGGTTTGCCATGGGGAGCCCGAGAAGAGACACACATTTGCTTGCACGGTATTGCTTTACAGTGAATTTCTGGTATTGTTGATGAGAGGCCTGTCTAGAACTACATGTATACCATGTCGGTTGAGGGAAAAGGAGATCGGAGCTGGTCTGAACTGCAAACTGCTTTCCCAAAAGCAGACACCATGTTAGTACCATGACCCAGCACCACCTTCCAGCTTCGTCCGAAACCTAATCTAAATGGATTTCGTCAATCGTAGTTACTTATAAATAGGTCAGCCGTAACTCTGTTTAAATCCAATGGTGACAACTTGCGTGGGAGCTTCTGCTGTTATATAGTCTCACATTGTGACCGTGAATTAACCTCACTTTCTTTTTCCTTTCAGAGGTAGAGCGTTTATTTGAAACAATCTTTTTTTCTCAAGTGGTATCATTTTACAGGTTTGCTGATCGAAGGGCAGATTTATATTGAGAGTATTACAGCCCTGTTAGTAACTTCATAAATATTTTTTCATATTTTACTTTTTCAAAGTTTATTCATATTTAAGCGGGTTTAGAGAACCCAACCTCCCTTAGGTTTTTCAACATGATTAGCTTTCAGGCCAGAGTATGATTAAATGCATTATTTCATCACAAAAAGGCAGAGCATAATAGATATGCAATACGTGCTGAGTGTATTGGTCATTTTCAAAATGATACTTATCCAATAATCTTAACAATCTGAAGATTATATGTTGTATTTCATGGTGTTGGTGTATTTCATAAGCACCTGTTGTTATCTATTTATTATGCTGAATTATGACATCCAGACTAGGCAGTAAAGCATGCATACGAACTTTTGAAGTGTTTCCAACATAATACAATGTTGCAAAACAGCAGGACTTCCTTGTCTCAGTCTTTTGATTGGGTAATCATGTTTTTGTTGTGTGCAGTTTTGCAAAATTAATACTTTCTGTTAATAATCTGATACTATTCACACTCTTTATTTTAGAAATAGTTTAGACATTTGTTGTATTGGACTTTTATTATTATTATTATTAATAATAATTGTATGTGTAATATTAAAAATGTATATTGTTTTTATTTCATTTCTTTTTTAGAAGATTATCCACAAGAACACATTAAATGTGATTTGATTCTTCTAACAGTTTGATTGAATCATGATGTTGATATTTTGTGAAAGCCTTTAAAGCGTCAATCCCCACAAAACAACAAATGATCAGATTACATGACAAGAATTAAACCATTTTCCCATCCCAAACCCTCCTATCCTGATGGCATTCCCTATGTATCTTGGAATAAAAACTGCAACTGAATCTGCAACTTGGTCAAAGTTTTCCTCTGCTGTAAACCGCGTCTCAAAACTTAGTCAGCTGCCTAAATTGACAGCATGTTGCGGCATCAGGGGCACGAGAAGCACAAGAAAACATGCTGTCTAGGCAGTGCGCTGTGTTTTGAACGCGCCTGTGATGCCCAAAAATACTGGCACGAAGCTCGCCCAGTTTAAAGTCACGGCTCCTGCAACAAGAATATAAACAGTGCAACTTAAAGAACTTCATCTTACCTGCGATAAAGACATGTTTAAGTAGACAAAGAGTCCGGTGGTCGAAGCGATCTGCAGCACGACCACCACGATCACCACCATCGCGATCCATAACTTTGACGGCGAGTCTCGACCGCGGCTGTTCGCCGGAACCATCATGTATGTGGTGGACTCGCTGCTGACCGACCTGAAGTAATCCTGGTTGTTCTGAGTAGCCATTGCATTCCTAAGACGTGAGTAGATACGCGGTTAGTGACAAACAAATAGAAATCAGCAAAGGGACGTTGAATAAACTCCTTCTTGTTGGCGCAGAGCGGCCGTGGGAGGGTAGAGTCAGTCCCACACTCGCATGCAGTCACTAATGCTGGTGGACTAGGCTTGTGTATGTGTGTGTGTGTGTGTGTGCGCGCGCGCTGAGGGGTTGAGTCTCGAGAGTGTCTCAAGGTACACTTAACTAAGACTTCATTAACGCTTTTCCTCATAGCCTACAAGATATCCCACTGAGAACATCTGCAATGTGACATCGTAGCCTAATATTTGTCACACTCTCCCAACCTTTGATATTACAGAAAAGCCTAGAATGCTTTACATGCTAAAGAAATCCATTTAAACCAGTGGTTCCCATCATTTTTGAGTCAAGGCCCCCAGTAGCCGACTTTTCAAGTTGTTTATGATTTAGGCCTAATGGATCAGAATGAAGGATACGTTTTTTTGTTTTTAAAAAAAAATATATTTACAATTTCTTCATGATACAACCTTTGCAAAACTATAAAAATGCATATTCCCATGGAGCTATACGATTTTATTAATTTACATAGCCTAACATTTCGAGGTCTATAAATCACACTTTTTATGGGAGGGTAGAGTCAGTCCCACACTCGCATGCAGTCACTAATGCTGGTGGACTAGGCTTGTGTGTGTGTGTGTGTGTGTGTGTGTGTGTGTGTGCGCGCGCGCTGAGGGGTTGAGTCTCGAGAGTGTCTCAAGGTACACTTAACTAAGACTTCATTAACGCTTTTCCTCATAGCCTACAAGATATCCCACTGAGAACATCTGCAATGTGACATCGTAGCCTAATATTTGTCACACTCTCCCAACCTTTGATATTACAGAAAAGCCTAGAATGCTTTACATGCTAAAGAAATCCATTTAAACCAGTGGTTCCCATCATTTTTGAGTCAAGGCCCCCAGTAGCCGACTTTTCAAGTTGTTTATGATTTAGGCCTAATGGATCAGAATGAAGGATACGTTTTTTTGTTTTTAAAAAAATATATATTTACAATTTCTTCATGATACAACCTTTGCAAAACTATAAAAATGCATATTCCCATGGAGCTATACGATTTTATTAATTTACATAGCCTAACATTTCGAGGTCTATAAATCACACTTTTTTAAATTTGGCTACCTCATAGGCCTACTGTAAATCAGTTTTTTTTTCTGAATCTCAGGAAATAAATTAAAGGGGTGTTGTAAGTAATCTTAAAGATTCCTAAATGCATCTACTTCCGGAAGGCCAAATAAAGTGCTTTTGGTTTCGCAAAAAAGAAAAAAGGTTTCAGCCTCATGATTGTATGGCGGATCTCGATGAAGAATCATCGATTAACTCACCTCAAAGACCGTCCAACAGATTACCGTAAAACCGTTTTATCAGCGAACGTTATCTTCATCACGCCTGGTTTAACAGGAATTATGCACTCGGTGGCAGTTATTATTTATTTATTGTGCTATGTATTGTGAGCGCTGCTAGTGACTCTCGTAGGCCTACACTCCTAAAAATAAAGTTCTTCACTTGCATCTACGGTTCCATGAATTAAAAGGGTTCTTCAGATTATTAATTAATCAATTAATCAGCCTATTCATGAATTCTGAACCCTTCTGCTTCAAAACAGAGAAAAAGAAGGCTAAATTAAAATGAAAACTTGATTTGTAGTTTTTGTTATTACTTATTCTTTTTATTTATTTTTTGTTGTTGTCTTATTTTAAATCATTTGAAGTAATCTTGAGGCCCCTGGAAGTTTGCTGGGGCCCCATGGTTAACAATACTTGGTTTAAATAAGCCTACACTGGTTTGCTGTTCTTCAAGTTTTTAAGTAAACCCCTCTATAACTATAAACCATCTTTGGTTTAAGATGTTATTGTGAAACAGGGTAAGTAAAACCTTTAGCCTGTATTTATATAGAAGTTTACATTTTTATTTATATAGTTTTAAAAATGAATGTTAAACCTGAGCTTTAGACATATTAACAAACTAAATTGCTGGTGGGCTATTTGTGTGACTGAGAAAGACAATATAACAAGGGGATCTGCTTTGATTACCTTTACTTACTTAACAGAGCCTTGTTTGTGTAAAGGTAAAATATATTAAGAAAAAAAAACAAGAAAGAAAGATGACCTAGAATAATCTGTGCACATCTGACTAAAACAACTGAAGATGAAAGAATTTGAGTATGTCTAATAAATTACATTTATCACTTGCATTCTTCATCAGTTTTGAACATTCCAGTCGTCTTGAGATAAACAGTCCACAGTAAAACTGAAGGGACCCAAAACATCACTCCTCTCAACACACTGTAAATATATCTGCAGCCTTTCTGTCTGGTTTAGCCATAAACTGCAGGAGACGAGCATCGTGTGTGAGCTGGAGCGTATGTTTGTCTATACTAGCATCTAGTGGAGATGGAAGACAGATGTCTGATGTCAGATGTTTGGTTGGTCGAGGTCTGTGGTCAGCCAGAGAAACCAACCAGACCGATGCTCGCACCTCGACCGGAGATCATCGCTGGTCTCTGCTATGGAAGTGCATTGAAAGGGGTGAGTAATTAATGTGAGACATCTCCTCAGGGCTGGATCTCTCATGTCTGCTACTGATTGTCTGTCGGATGATTTCTAGCAGTGGCATTTAGTGCTGTCAACAGGAAAAAAGAGCTGGTGCTGGTTGAATTAACTGCTTAAGAGTATAGTTTTAAAATTTAGTCAACACATTTTATTCAAGACTGGTCTTAACTTTGTAAAGTCAGTTACATAAAAGGTAGACTGGTCTCATTTGAATCTGAAAAGTAAGACACTGGCCCCTGAGCTGATGAGTTATACAAAATCACAGTACATCAAGACAATTGTTTTGTATCGCAAGATTTCTGAAATGCTTAAGTAGGCAAGCAAGACATTATCTCATTAAATAGGCATTAATTTGCATACATTTCCTGAACATTGATTAAAGCCAGGTTCAAAATGTGTGTTTATTTTTCGCGGGCATACTAGAATTAAAGACTTTGGATATCTTTTTTTCACTCCACAAGTTATAAAATACTTTCAACAGCCAGAAAAAAACTTGTACCATATTTTTAGGAACAAAATGTTGTATAATATGCAAATGATATACTGTATCAACAAACCCCTCGGTAAAAACATTATTAATATAGATAGGAATAAAGCAGAGAGTTTGGTGTAAGTGCTACTGAAGTGGAATTTTGTGTGTTTTCTTTCCACTAGTCTGAAAGAAAGACATGTTATGGGACAAAATGACCAAAAGTGATCTTGTCCATGCAATGAAAGTCAGTGAGATCTCAAAATGGACAAAAACACTTTTGAGCCAATTTTCAGGAAATCGTAATTTCTTTTTTTTTCTCCTTTTTTCTTTTGCAGAAAGAGAGCAACTCAAACCAATTTGGAACAATATGAGGATGAGTAAACGATAAGTTTTAAGTGAACTTTCCCTTTACTATAGCATTGCAACTGCAGATCACAGAGAAAATGTCATGTTTTCCATGCGATGACCTTATCGTCATGATCGATATGGCCTACAAAGAGTGAAAACTCCATAAACCTGCACACACATCCCTATTCTCCAGTGCAAACATGTTAAATGTATTGTACTCATTTTATTAGAATTTATTTAGTCTTTTATGTAGTCTCCCTTCTCCGCCGGCTCCTTTATGGCACGTTTGATCATACAAATACGAAGGATTGCTCGCCATCCCTGTTGACTTAAGTCGCAGCGCTTCAGTGCTTCGCTAGGCTTGAGCGATACGAATAGAAAATATATGAGTACATTAAGTCTATGAGGCCTGTTTAGTGTAAGGAATTCCTTTACATCTGTCTGGCTCGAATAAATCGAAAAGGGTGGGGGGTGTTGGGAGATTTTCCAGAACCCCCATGATCCATTTGACTCTATATGTGTCAGCTCTGTTGCAATCACTTCGTCCCTTCTCTCTCTTCCCCACTCCCTTTTCCTGCTATCTTTTTTCCTTATGCACGTTTTTTCGCCATCTCTCATTTTTGGCAGCGATGGTTCCTCAGACATTGGAACAAACACTTCTCCAGATGCGTATAACGGGGCTGGACTGAAAGCCATTGTGTCTTCACTGACACTGCAGCTGTGAAGTCAGGCCCCCTTGTGTATGAGAATATGCGTGTGTGTGTGCGGGAGAGAGAGAAAGTGAAAGAAGGAGTGTGTCTGGGAGACTGATAGAGCGAGGCAGAGGGTCACAGAATGAGTATGCGTGATTTTGTGTGCGTGGCCCTGATTTTCAAGCTGTGGTCGCCAAGAGTGGGAGTGTGTGGGATGCAGGTTTTCGCTAAAGTGCATTCCTGCCATGTTAGGTATCAGTGCTTGGGGAGTATTAATGGGATGCAGTAAAATAGTCCTGCCTTTTACACCCCCCCGCAGCTCCATCATAAAACCGCTTCAACAATACAGCATTCACTGTTTATCATTTTCAGACACACTTTATTATAGGTACTGACATATTTTTGGAAAATAACAACACGGGAACATACAGAATACAGGATCTTTGGTCAAGAATGTGTCAGTGTGTTTTGGGTGGTAGTAACTTCCAAAGCTGATTTGTAGTCAGATTTCCGCTTACCTAATAATGGCTGTGGTTTGAGTGCTTGGACCGGGAGAGCAGATCTTATTTCGGTATAAACAGACAGCGTGCATGCAGCTGTTTCGTCTTTAAGGGCTCATTTTCAATGGGTCAGAGAGAAATTGATTATAATTGTGTATGCTTTGTTATGACTTTGTCTCCTTTTATTAATGTTTGGGATGTGAAAGATTGTGTGGATGAAGATTAATGTCTGCCGTTTTCCATCTTTATTTCAGGGGGTGTTGCATGGATCACTGACCAGTTCTGCAAGGGTAAAGCTTCACGATCTGTTTAAACGCACATTGTCAATCAGGTGCTGCAGATGCTCCAGGAGAGAATCGGAGCTCTTATGGGGCCCTCTGCTGGTCTCTTGATGCATGTCACAAAACTCATCGAGAGAAGCCATCAAAGCACCCACCGTCCAGCCATTCAGACAGGCACTCCGAGAGAGTCTGCAAAGCTACGGGAAAGTAAGAAAAAAATAATAAAATTATTTTACAATGAAAATGATAAAATTCATTGTGAGGAC